GATGCAGCTAATACCAGGCCCTTGCTATTCAGTGTGTGGCTGGGAACCAGCTGCAACAGCATCATCTGGGCACCTGGGAGAGAAATGTAGATTTGCAGGCCAGCCTAGAGCTGCAGAATCAGAATTAGCATTTTAACAAGTCCCCCAGGAATCTGATGCATAAAAGTTTGAAAAGCCATGATCCAGCATAGTGTTCCCAATAGAACATAATGCCAACCACGTGTATAATATTAAAGTTTCTAGTAGCCACATTATCAAACATAAAAAGAAACAGGTGAATAATTTTAATTTTTTTAATTTAACTTGATCAAAAATATTCTCTTTCCATATGTGGCTCTAGCCACATTTCAAGTTGTTAGTGGTTACAGTGGCTATCATGTTGGACAGCACAGGTACAGGGCATCACTTAAACTTTCTTCGAAAAATCCAGGTGGTTCTAATCCTTACTCAGGAGAGAGAACTAGTGTTGCTTAAAGAGCGTAAGCACATTAGGTGCCAAAATTCAGCTGACTCCTATATTTAATGGAGAGCATTTTTCACTGTTGGCTTTTCTGGGGCCTTCGTGGGGGAGGGCTCCAGTTACCTAACCTTGGAACTTCGGCATCCTTGAGGTCAGGCATAGAATAGCTTTCAGCTGGGTTCCAGTTCCTTGATCTTGGAAATCAGCTTCGCCAGGTGTTGATTTGTCTTGATCTAATTCTTTTGAGAAACTATTTAGCAGAAAGTGCACAATAAACTCTCCTTTTGAGATTCTGTCTTCAGTAAGTTGAAGCAATGGAGGCAGAAGATGTAGCCACATTACAAGACGGATAGGACATCTGCTTGCTTCTTGAAAGTGTGCAGCCTTTGCTGCTGCTGCCGGAGTGAAACATATGTAATAGTAATGGAGATCCAGGAGATGAAAGAACTGGGGCTATTTCATCTTCGCATGCATAGAGATAGTACATACCATCCATAGCACAAGGCAAGGGCTAAAGGACTCTCTCATATGTATATGAATATATGTGAATGACCCTGGTCTTCTGAATTTGAAATTCTAGTTGACATAAAGGGTGTGATCTGTCACTTGGCTTGGAGTTGAGATTGTGAAAGGGAATGGAACTGGACTAATACAGGAGCTGACAACCACATGTGGCTCTTGTCACCTGCAATGAGGCTTATCTACAGTGAGACATGCTTTGAGTGTGAAATATGCCCCAGATTTTGAAGACATGATCAGAAAAATGTCTCATTAATAAGGTGAAAATTGATTTACATGTTAAAATGATAATCCTTTGGATATTAAAATTAATTTATCTTGTTTCTTGTTACATTTTTTAACTTGGCTATCAGGAAATACATAGCTACATATATGAATTACGTTATTTTGTCTGAGACATCCCTAGCCTAGACTCAGAGCCCCTCCAACTCTTCATCTGATCCCACCAGGCTGGGCACAGACCCACAGCAACAGCTGAAGGGTTAAGTCAATGGGGGAAGCTCAAGTTATCATCTCCTAGAGTAGCCCAAGCTATGATTTGATTGAAATAATCTGTCAGACCCCCCAGCCTGTGTATTGAGAATCTAGTCCTGCCTTCAGCTACTGGGCAGAGGATCCCGTGTCCCTAAGTGTTCCCACTGTGCCTGGCATGGAATTGGCCTCAGACCATACTTGCAGCATTAATTACTTCATTCCCTGGATGTTGCTGTCTTATATTTGTCTTTTGTAGAAAGCTGAGAAGTGAGAAAGGAATAACATTGAACTCACTTCCACAAGATGCTTCTCTTGCTCCAGCTGCTTCTGAAGGGAGCTGAGATATGAAATGGGACCCACCTATACAGGCCTTTTACATAGAAAGTCCTCTCTCCCACTTTACCCACTCAGTCAGATATTGATTTAAATCTGGAATCAATGAGTTTTTTACAGACGATATGGAGATATAGAGAAGCACCACGTGCAAAGGACAGCAATTTATCCTGCAAGTGGTTGTATTTTGATTAATATAGACATACCCCTTCTTCTGGATTAGCTTTTGAATATCATGTTTGCATATGACGAAATTTAGAATTCGACCAGAAAACTTTCAAAGCCAAATATTTGGCACCATTATTAGCCCTTATGCAATGAATGGAGCTAGTTTTCAGTACTTTTTACTCACAAAGTAAAACCACCTCATATTTAATTAATTAATTAATTAGTTAGAGACGGAAGTCTCACTATACTGCCTAAGCTGGTCTCCAGCTCCTGACCTCAAGTGATCCTCTCGCCTTGACCTCCCAAAGTACTGGGATTACAGGCATGAGCCACCATGCCCAGCCTTCATATTTATTTTAGATCAAGGAAATTAATTCAACCTAATCATAAGTCTTGCCTAAAATCATCCTCACTAGACCATAATGATTTCTTCAAATGGGCTTTTTCTTCATGCTTCTTTATTTTTTTTTTTTGAGACGGAGTCTCACTCTGTCACCCAGGCTGGAGTGCAATGGCACGATCTCGGCTCACGGAAACCTCCACCTCCCAGGTTCAAGCGATTCTCCTCCCTCAGCCTCCTAAGTAGCTGGGACTACAGGCACCTGCCACCACACCTGGCTAATTTTTGTATTTTTAGTAGAGACGGGGTTTCACCGTGTTGGCCAGGCTGGTCTTCAACTCCTGACCTTGTGATCCACCCGCCTTGGCCTCCCAAAGTGCTGGGATTAAGATCTGTGTTTAGAAGTTTGATTTAAAAACAAACAGAAATAATGTTCCCAGATAATCAGTCGGCTATTCAAGTTCCTGGCGTTATTTTTTCATTTCTCTTTGTTAATAACCATATCAAAAGTAAAAGATATTTTTACAATCTTACTATTTTCCTTATATTACAACCTACATGAAATGAGATGGCCCTCTTTATTAAAATATATATATATTCAAAAAAGATTTCCTTATGGTTTTAGATCATTCAGGAGTGGAAGAGTTGAGAATGGGAGAAGGAAAACCGGGACTCAAGGGGGTGGGTTGGGGAAGAGATTAGATTATATATTTCACTGCTTGGATCTGGCCTGAGGGTGAGATGTCACAGCCTGGGCTGCTATCTAGATGCTGGGAGGGTCTCAGGGATGTGGTTCTGACCTGGGCATCTTTGTCCAGAGGAGAAGCTGACAAATGCCCACCCGCAGGGCTTTTCTGCTGGAGTGCGAGGAGCAAGAGGCGCTCCTTGGTGTTCATCCAGTTTACCACGTGGGGAACCCAGCAATGAGGGGATTTGAGGGAGCCTTTCTCGGGCAGTTTGTTCTAACAACCAGCAGATGGCGCCCGAGATTGAGGCCCGGTGCCTGGTCTGCCCTCAAGGAATATTCAATATAGACCATATTCTGGGCCATAAAACACACATTTAGATATTGAAAAGAATATAAATCATACAAAGGATGCTTTCAGATCACAATAGATCAGAATAGCCGTCTATAGCAGAAAGACAGAAAATTTCAAAAATATTAAACAACACTCTTCTCTGAAAATGTTTAGAGATTCAGTAACACATGGGTCAAAGAAGTCTCAAGAGAAATTAAAGAATATTTGAGGCAGGATGTGGTAGCTGGCACTTTTAACCCCAACTAGTGGGGAGGCTGAGGTGGGAGAATAGCTTGACACTAGGAGTTCCAGCCCAGCCTGGGCAACATAGTGAGACCCTGTCTCTAAGAATTATTTATTTATTTATTTATTTATTTATTTTATTTTATTTTAAAAACTTGGGTTTTACCTAAAATTTCACTTTTTCTTGGCTTCTTCCTTTTCCTCCTGCTCCTACCTTTTCCTCCACTAGTTTCTCTGAAACCACATGAATTCTGGAATTAGAGTCTGGGAAACTTACCTATGCCAGTCAGGATAAGTGTATGTATCCTGGAATCTTCCTGACTTTGCTGCAAGCGTACTTTTCAATCAAGGCATATTGCATATATCCCCAGCACATTCACGTGGCGGGGAGGCAGGGCCTTTTCTGAATCAGCTCACAATGCTAACAAGCCAGACCCTTGACCGTCTTCAACGATTCCTAAAAATGGGATACAAGGCCCGGAGCAGTGGCTCACATCTGTAATCCCAACATTTGGGGAGGCCAAGGTGGGCAGATTGCTTGAACCCAGGAGTTTGAGACCAGTGTGGGGAACACGGTGAAACCCTGTTTCTATTTTTAAAAAAAAGGGGAGGGGGGAGAAATTAGCTGGGCATGGTGGTGCACACCTGTAGTGCCAGCTGGGGCTACAGGGAGGCTGAGGTAGGAGGATCACCTGCACCTGGGGAGATCAAGGCTGCAGTTAGCTGAGATCACACCACTGCACTCCAGCCTGGGTGACAGAATAAGGCTCTTAAAAAAAAATTTTAATGTATGTAAAAGTTGCCAATGATTTAATATGCAAAGAACACTTGAAAAAACCAGCACTAGTTTCAGTAGATCCCTCCTGCAGGGAACTGACTTGTGATAAGAGCATGACTGCCTGGCCCCCAGCACGCATCTCCACAGTGACCAGAGCTGTGCCAGCCAGAGGAGCACAGCACGGAGGACCCCACAGGGGAAATGGAAGGAGAAAGGATCAGCTGAGAGAGTCAGGTATTACCAGGCGTGCACTGAAGACAAAACAATACATTCTACAGTGGGGGAATTTACCATTGTTAATGTAGACAAGCTCACGTCCAAGACAATGTTAGCTCCACGGAGCTGTGGTGGTGGAAAGTCATTCAGTGCTGGATAGAACAGAGGTATTTATCCACATTTGTCTTGTTCAAATACACACACACACACACACACACACACACACCCCTACCCACCTGCCCACCCCACCCCCACACACATTGCTCTAGGAATAAAAAGTATTGCACCCTTATTATTTAGAAACTCACATAATCCATTTGGTTACAGCCAAATATTTATTTAACTTATTAACTCCGTAATGCATCAAGCTGAACTTACAGAAATAAAAGGTAAAGCATTTGGAATTTAAGAATACAATACATATCATTAGGAAACAAAATATAAACACAAAACTCACACGTTTGATGGTGACAATAATCAATATTTAAAACTCAGCTTTTATCCTAATGAATCTATGAAGTTAACTACATCATGGAATGGTCTATATTTTTGTGCCATGATTTTGTAAAATATATATACCCAACAGAAACTTCCTAGGTCTACCCACCAAATAATTTAATTTCCCGATCCTGTTTCTATGCAGTGGGGGTTTATTTGCCCTCCCCAGGATGGACTAGAGGATGGGCAGTGCCTGGGTTTATCACAGGACAGACACTCAGGACACCCTGATCTGGGAGGGTGGAAGGAGCAAAATATGGGCGCAGCGGCTCCTCAGGAAAAACTTTCGTGAATGTATAGATGTGGGATCCATCTCCAAGGTGGTAAAAGGAAATGTCTCCCATGCCTCTATCCATAAAAATCCCCATTCGCTGTAAATTGGGGTTCACCCAGAGGGGTGTTGGAGGGCTTGTGTTAGCAAAGTGGAAGCCCTCAGCCCTCAAACTCACAATCCAGAATCCATGCTCTGTGGTCATTTGGATGTTCCCTTTGCGGCTGGCAGATTCTCTGCAGACTCCCAGATTCCATTCTGTGCTTGTTCCTAGGTCCACCTCCCAGTAGTGGCGGCCAGAGGTGAAACCAGGGGAGCCCAGGACAGCACCCGCCAAGTTGAATCTCTCAGCACTGTTTGGCCGATTCTGATGGATCCTCCCACGTCGGACGCTCCTGAGGTCTTCAGAAATGAGGAGGAGGTTGTGAGCTGTGTCAACATCCAAGGTCACTTCCACTGTGAAAAGAAAAACAAGCAGCTGAGCAAATGCACAGAAGCCAAGCCCATTTCACTCCTCTACTGCCAAGTCCCAAATATCTCATCGACTTTGGTTTCTGCCATTCCGCTTTTTTTCCTGAAGTCAGAGCTTTTCTCGAGGCAACTTCCCTGAGTAGTTGAAATTCTCACAGATATACTCGTTGTAATACCTGGCTCTTACTCATAGTAGAAGTTCTTATTCTACATTATGCTGTGTGTGTGTTTATGTCTTGTATTTCTTCTGCTTGGAGGGCCTCAAGACAGACACCACGACCCTCTTTCTACTATACTGATGAGTGAAAAATGAGTGATAATTAAGACAATACAAGTTTGCGATATTAAATGATATGTTTCTTTTTTCACATTTTATTAGTCCAATTTAAATAGTGTCTAGGGCATGAATCCAGGCTTTTGTTCTCCATATTTGTAACCAGTGACTTGTTCACGGTTTTGACAGAAGATGGGATATCTCTGCAGCTGATAATGGATGACGGAGGTCCCATGCCTGGATGTTAGGAGAATCTAAGGCCAAGAGGAAGGTAAGGACCTAGATGCAAGGATGCTCTTCATCCTATGGGGGAGTTGGAGCCTTAGGCAAGACAGTGTTAATGGGCTTAAATTTAAGAGATGAGATAAAGGTATTTAAAAGTTATTAGAATGAGCACTTTACAGCATTTCGTATGTGGTTGAAAAGTGAAGTCACCAACTTTAATGGAAGAGGAAGAAAGGAAGGGGTGGGATCTGGCCTAGGAAAATTTATTGTCTAGACCATTCTGGAAAAAAATAAATCTACAGAACCTGTTATCCTTCAAGTCCAAAGACAGATGTGACCACCAATGTAGATTTTGTACAGTAAATAAGGTATCAGCTATTATTTTGTTAAATAGGTTTCTATGCCTTTGCCTGTCCCTGGAACTCCCAAAATTTGAATATGTAGTCACATAGGCTTTCTGGGTTTTTTTTTATTATTGTCTTTTTTTTTTTTTTTTTTTTTTGGTCAAATGGGGTTATTTCAAAAGACCTGTAGAATGAGACAAAAGATTTTTAAACTATTCATCTGACAAAACTAATAATAATATACAAGAGACTCAAACAGCAGCAGAAAATCAAACATTCTCATTAAAAAGCAGGCAAAGAATTTCAAGACATCTCTTGAGAGAAGGCATATGAATGTCCAATACGAGTATTAAAAAAATTCTCAACAACACTCAGAGAAATGCAAATAAAAAACACAATAAGATATCACTTCACCCTGGTTAAAGTGGCTATTATCAAAAGCACAAAATAAAACAAATGCCAGTGAGGATGTGAAGAAAAGGGAACTCTTACACAGTGTCAGTGGAAATGTAAATTAGTATGACCGCTATGGAAAACGGTGTGGAGGTTCCTCAAAAAACTCAAAATACAACCAGCAAGGGATTCATAAATCCCACTGCTGGGTATGTATACAAAAGAAAGGTCATCAGTATATGGAAGAGACAGCTGCACTCCCTTGTTTATCGTAGCACTGTTTACGATAACTGTTCATCAACAGATACATGGATAAAGAAAATGTGGTATATGTATACACAGTAAAATACTATTAAGCCTTAAAAAAGAGTAGAATTGTCTCTTTTTTTCTTTCTTTCTTTCTTTTTTTGAGATGGAGTTTTGTGCTCAGGCCCAGGCTGGAGTGCAGTGCAGTGGCGCAATCTCAGCTCACTGCAACCTCCACCTCCCGGGTTCAAGTGATTCTGCTGCCTCCACCTCCCAAGTAGCAGAGATTACAGGCGTGCACATCCATGCTTGGCTAATTTTTATGTTTTTAGTAGAGACGGGGTTTCACCATGTTGGCCAGGCTGGTCTCGAACTCCTGCCTGCCTCAGCCTCCCAAAGTGCCAGGATTACAGGTGTGAGCCACTGTGCCCAGCCAGAATTGTGTATTTTGTAGCAACATGAAGGGAACTGGAGATCAGTGTCTTAAGTGAAACAAGCCATGCACAGAAAGCCATTTATCACCTATTCTCACTCATAAGTGGATGCTAAAAAAAAGTGTATATGGGGACACAGAGAGTGGAATCATAGATAAGGGAGACTCAGAAAGGTGAAGGTGTGGAAGAGGGGGATTATGAGAAATTAGTTCTCAATGTACGTTATTTGAATGATGGATACCTTGGACACCACGGATGACCACTATGTAACCAATGCATGTTACCAAATTGCACGTGTATCTCATAAATGTGTACACATTTCTTTTAAGTTTTGAGAATCCCTTGTCTAAGCCATGACATAGACACGGGTATTTTTTGTTGGAGATCAAAAAATAAAACCAGGTGTTTCTACGTGTTGTCAGGGCTGAGAATCACTGATGCCAGAGGAACATTTCAGTTTCAGGTGCCAGATATCAGCTAATTCCCATATGGTACGGAGAGCCAATTGCAACAGTACTTTTTCCTCTTTTGGTAGTGGGAAGGGGCAGGGTATACAGACTCCTTACCTTGGAACTTCCGCATTCTTGGGTTCATCTTCAGAATCTTTTTCAGCTTGGGCTCCAGTTCCTTAATGTGGGAAACCAGACTCCCCAGCTGCCGATTGAGCCTGATGTTGTTTTTCTGAGAAGCCACCAGGCAGAAGGGACACAAGACACCTTCCCCTTGGGGCTCTTTCTGCAGTGAATTGGTGCAGCTGAGGCAGAAGACGCATTCACACTCCAAGGACATCGGCTTTTCTAAGTAAGCTGTGCAGATGGGACATCTGGTTGCTTCTTTTAAGAGTTCATCCATGGTCACTGTCAGGGAAAACAAAAATACACAGGGAAGTGAATTTTCATGAAGTGACAGCCTCTTAGTGTGTAACAAGTGACAACTTTCCATGCATAGGGTTACTGTGTTCCAGCTTTGTAGTCCCTAGATCAAGGCGGTGAGTACCAACACTCCAGCACATGCCCTTGTCTTCAGAAATTTGAAGTTCTATTGGGAAAGACACGTCCCAAATCGTCCCTGTGCTCTGAGCTGAGGTGGAGGAAGAGTCGATTCTCCTGGTGACCCAGCAGCTGTGCCAGCAGATGAGCCTGCAGCAGTTGAGGCTGTGCCAGCAGCACCCGTGTGAGGAGCAGCGAGCTTGGGTCATTTCTTCTCCTCCGAGGGGAGCCCAAGCAAGAGATTCATTAATGAGAATAAGAACTGCATCCTCCCTGTAGCCTTGGGACTGAATACAAAACTGACTGCCACCACTCCTAGACTGAGGGGATCCAGGGTGATTGATTTCAACTCCGAGGCAGCACTCAGACAGCCTTTGTTGAATGCATTAATTACTAACTTCTTTCATTCATCCCCCTACGTTATAACCCCAATTCTAGACATCTGAGAAGGAAAAACAAAGCACACAGGTGTGGACTCACCTCTTCTGCTGAAAGCTCCTTTGTACTCCATGGTCTTCCACCAGGAGCTCAGGTATGGTGGGGAAGGGGCATAGGAGGGCCTTTTATTGGCAAGATTGCCCCACCCTCCATGATGACACCCTGCCACTCCCTCTAATCCTCCATGGTCACACCCTGCCACCCCCTCTAACCTAATCAGGTGTTTATTTAATTATAGCAGGGAATGAGGTTTTTATTGGTGATAAACCTGCAATCCACAATATTCTTAGTAAAACCCTTCATCCTGATAATATTTACCTTGAAAAAGAAGATAAGATTAAATTGCTGTCACTTTAGATTAGACCCAACCTACTAATATCACAAGCCTATTTTAGGGATTTTTCCAGCGTTTGGTAGTAGCAATGGTTTTGCCGACATATATTATACATGTCAAGCTTTGCTTAGAATCCTAAAATAGATTATCAGTGTGATTGCATTTGCAATTTTACAAAGTTCTATAAATTCATATACATCAGACTCAAAGGTAATAGGTGCATGCAACCCAATGAGAAAATTTTAGGGAGTTTTTATTTACTTCCATTTGTTCATATTTTATTCTAAAAATTTTTGATAAATCATAGGAATAATTTAAATTGTGAAAAATTACCATTGAACTCTGGGTATTAGGCACTTCATAGTGTTAGGATACAAGCCAGAGTCGAAGAACAGGGAACATTTTCTCTGCTGCTTATGTTTTCAAGTAGAATCATTCACATTGAAGTAAATGGTACTTTTCTTTCCCTTGAACCAGCCTTGAGTCTTTTCCTTTTAATCCCCTTCTGTGTATAAAAATCCCCTACTATTTGTAGTTTTGTTTCAAAATTCAAATTATTCTAATGTCATCTTGCTATTTTTCCTATCTCACATTTTATCATGGATTAAATAACTTTTCTCTTTCTACATACTTTTTTAAAGGGAGGCCTAGTTCTGGTCCTCTTTAAATATGATTCCTCGGGGATCAGATGACTCAGAGAGACTGAGATCTTGAGCAAAAGGAATAATAAATCTACAGATATCATGGAAGAGGCTACTAGGTTAATTTAAGTGATTAATGCCTACTTAATTTTTAGAAGCACAGCTTCATTTTCAACTTTTAAATAACTTTTTTTTTTTTTTTGAAACAATGTCTCACTGTATCACCCAGGTGCTGGAGTGCAGTGGCACCATCTCAGCTCACTGTAACCTCTGTCTCCCAGTTCAAGCAATTCTCATGCCTCAGCCTCCCAAGAAGCTGGGATTACAGGCGTCTCTACTAAAAATACAAAAAAATTAGCTGGGCATGGCGGCGCACACCTGTAGTCTCAACTACTTAGGAGGCTGAGATAGGAGAATTGCTTGAACCTGGGAGGTGGGGACTGCAGTGAGCCAACATTGTGCCACTGCACTCCAGCCTGGGCAATAGAGCGAGACTCCATCCAAAAACTAAAAACAAAAACAAAAAACAAACAAACAAAAAAACAGAGGGTGTTAGTTCTCTCCTCAATTTCCTCATTCGTCAAAATGGAGACAATTTAAGTAAACCACCTAGAACAGCAGCACACCACATGCGTAGGGGCTAAAATAAAACTCTATTTCTTCTGCATCTTTCTTTCTTTACAGTATCAGATAAACACAGTAACACCAAACCCAGAATCTCTACATTTCTTTTTTTCGAACATATTCTATCCACAATATTTCTCAGTAGAAGCTGAGGGGATTTAAAGAGAGTTTCCTCCTCCTAGGCCCTCAAAATACTGAGAACATGGTTTGCAGTGAGCCCTCCATAACTGAATGTTAAATGACTGAATTCCTTCATTAATGACTTGCTTATTTAATCTTGATAAATGTACTTTATTTTGTTCTTTCAAGAGCAAATATGTCCCGAGGGCCGCACGGAGGGTCAATGGTGGTGCTCTGAGCTGTGCAGGTGGGGCTGTATCGGAGTGGTGGGAGGGTCAGGTGTGTGTTTCCGACCTGGGCATCTTTGTCCAGAGGAGCAGAAGTGGACACACGCCCGCCCACAGGGCTTTTCTGCTGACGTGGGTTGGCGGGAGGGGCTCCTGGGTAGTGGCTCCGTTTAGGGTCTACAGCTGATCAAAGAGGGGACTGAAGGGACCTTTCTCAGGTAGTGGCGTCTGTTAACCAGAAGATGGCGCCAGAGGTCGCAGGGCCCTGCCTGGGTGTCGGTCTTTCTGGTCGGCACTCCAGGCTCTTGCGTGGGGACTCTCACCCCTGAGCACTGAACGCAGTTCCTCTGTCCGAGACCTTCTCACTCGCAGAACGCACAGTTGCACATATGAGCACCTCACCTGTCACCCACGCTCTCTTACATACCCTCTCACTCCCACCCATACCTCCCCTCTCAGATGTGTGCTCCAGGATTTTCTCTCCACCCACAGCCGCAGATGCCCCCGCGGTCCGTGCAACTGTGCACACTCGGTGCAGTGGACCCCTGCCTCCTGCTTTCAGCCTTGCGCTTTATCTCACACATTTTCCCACCTAGAGACCATATCAGACCCTCTCAGCTTCTTCCCTTGCCTCTCATCCCCTTAAAACGAAAATCCTTTATTTCCTCCAGAATTTGTCTGCTCTCTTCCCAGAATGCCCATCCATCTTCTAGCTGATCCTCTAGGGCAGTCGTTTCCTGCCCCTTGCTTCCAACAGCTCCTTTCGTGCCAGTTTTTGTCGCGTGCCTCTTACCACGCTGAAGCGGAACCGACCCAGAGCATCACAGAATGCCCGAACTTAGGGGTCTGCGAATACGACTCATTGATAGGCTGCCCGTTTTGGTAAATGAAGTTTTATTGGTGTGTTTCTTAGGGCTGTCCTACGCCACAGTGACAACATTAAGATGGTTGTGACAGAGAACTTACAATACTATCCACAAGCATAAAATATTTACTGTCTGGGGGCTCACGCCTGGAATCCCAGCACTTTGGGAGACCGAGGTGGGAGGATCACTTGAGTCCAGGAGTTTGAGGCCAGCCTGGGCAACATGACGAAACCTTGTCACTACAAAAAATTTTTGAAATTAGCCAGGCGTCTGTGGTCCCAGCTACTCGGGAGAATCACTGGAGCCCTGGCAGTTGAGGCTGCAGTGAGCTGTGTTTGTACCACTGCACTCCGGCCTGGGCGAGAGTGAGACCCTGTCTCAAATTAAAAAAAAAAAGAAAAGAAAAGAAAAGAAAAAGAAGAAGAAGAAGAAATTTGCTGATCCCTGGAACTCCTCACACTTTTCAGGACTTCTAGTGCCTGCCACCTACAGCATCTCAACGCCAACAGTGACCCCAATCCCTGTGACAAGCACACACTCCCCCGTGCGTTTCCAAGGTGCCCCCTACAGAGAAACTGCACTGCTGCCTTTATTTCCTAATGACCACTTCTTCTTGTTTTTATTCAGTTTTTAGAGATCACTCTTCCAAAAGCACTTAAGGCCATGTGGGAAGACCCCATGGCCCAGGACATGAAAGCATCTTGCATCTTGAAGATTTTACTCTAATTTTGTTAAGGTTTTTTGTTGTTTTGTCTTGTTTCATGCAGCAGTTTTCTCACTGCTTTAAGTGTAGGTGACACTTTAGTTTTATTCCTCCCTTTGGAATGGATTCTTTTTTTTTTTTTTTTTTTTTTTGAGACAGAGTCTCACTCTGTCACCCAGGCTGGAGTGCAGTGGTGCAATCTCAGCTCACTGCAGCCTCCGCCTCCCAGGTTTAAGCACTTCTTCTGCCTTAGCCTCTCAAGTAGCTAGGACTACAGGCACGTGCCGCCACAACCAGCTAACTTTTGTATTTTTAGTAGAGATGGGGTTTCACCGTGTTGGCCAGGATGGTCTTGATCTCCTGAGCTCATGATCTGCTTTACAGCAGGATTACAGGCGTGAGCTACCACACCCAGCCATGGATTTTCTTTTAAGGCTTCTTTTTTGTTGCAATGCCTTCCTTTGCGAAAGCAAAAGGAAGAAAAAGAGATCATTCTTTATCTTTCAAACAAAAACTGAAATTACTATGTTTATTTTGCATGTTTGTCACTGAAATGAACACTGTGTACTGACTGTATGAATGTATCCCCCACATTTCACGTGCTGGCCTTAATCTCCAGTGTGGCGGTGTCAAGAGGTGGGGCCTTTAAGAGGTGATTGAAACAGGAAGAGACAAGATAAGTAGCCAGAGAACAGTCACCACATCAGTAAGGGCCTAGAAACCGTACCATTTCCTCAGCTGCTTCTTTCTTTTCTCTTAGTATCTAAGAAGCATGTTACTGCACCAAGGACCCTGCATCTCCTCTTCCTCTTTCTGGAGGGTTCTGACCACAGTTGCTCTCAATAGGATC